GCAGGTAACTGAGTAGGCCTGTGGCGTTTTTTTTCAAATATTGCCCCTGTGTGGTAAAATGTTTAATTGCTGCCACATAGTGAAATTCATTGCATTCCTCAAGACTCACACTACGCAACAGAACCTGCATTAGTTTTATCGCTGAAAAATTAACGTCATCGATGAAATTCTTAATCATCAATTAATTGATTGTCGATCAATCATGCCCATCCCTAGTCCCAACCTTCTCCCCCAGCTGCGTTTGTTGAGCAGACAGCCGACCTGACTGGCCTTTGTCATCATCATCATTGGCTGACTGCTCCATATTCCAACATTTCAGCCCTCCCAACAGCTGGGTGCAAGCCTGGCTGAGCTTAGAGTGCCAACCCCATGCGTCCTGCAAAATGTCCAGTAAAAATTGGATTAAAAGTGGTGTAGCCCAACACATTACAGTATCTCTCAAGGAAAAAAAATTCTTCTAGTACTTCATCCTCTCATTATCCTATATCAGTTATGGAAAAGCTCCATTTATCTACACCGAGAGGCTCGCCACCTGGATTGGACTTTCTCCCTTTCCCCTTAACTCTAGCATCTTTAGGTACGGTTAATAGAGTTCTAGTCAGCATTTTTGTACCTCTAGTTTCCTCGCCTCAAAATCAATGGGTTTCTTTTGATGGGTTTTTGGTTAGATGCCTGCAATAAGTTCTGTGGTTTACACAAGCTTAGAGATTTTCACATTTTGTTCTACGACATAAAAAACCTAGTACACTTGTAGATTTTACTTTCATGACTTAATTACAACTTGAAAGTTAAGTGGTGGTGAAGTCGTGTGACCGCGGTGTAGTAGGTGTAGTGTAGTTTATAGGCTAACATTAACTTTTTACTTCTGGAAATTGTATTTATGCTTTAAAAATGATAAAAGTGGTGTTCATTTGTAAAGATTATATTGCTGAACAAAATGTGTAAGTATCATAAACCTTTGTTTGCCACAGTGCTTATTTTCTGCAATAATCCAAAATGCCATTGGCTTTTGGTCGAAAGAACCAGGGTGAGGCTAACTTCTGTGTTGGCCTACAAAAAGACATCATCCCTGCAAGATTTGTCTGCCTCACCCCGCCATTAGTTACCCCCCTTCACATGTCAAAACAATTGATTCACAGGTGAGAACAATTTGCTTACCAAATAGGCTTCTTCTCTCTCTTCATTAAGAATAGAGATTTCTCTGTTTACCTCTTCCATCACTCTTCCTTGTCATTATATCAGAGAGGAGGAACTTGTCAACTTTCCCCGAGCTGTAGACAAAACAGTGTCTAACACGCTCATCTTATTACCTGACAGATCTCACTTTCCTGCTGTGATGTCTCTATCTCCATCTATAGGAAATACTTTTGAGAAATGTGAGAGTCTAGGGTTAGCATTACACTATGCCTGCTCCAGTGTGACCTCCTTGTGTCGTTCAACACAGTTGTGTGACCCTGGGTGGGCCCAAAACCTTTGCTCAAATGTGCACCTGCTTTCTGAGCTAACCTTAACTATAGCTGTGCAGCAAACCATTCTATAACCCCCCTGCCCCTACCCCTCTGATCTATCAGAAAGTCATGAGGGAAGTGTGACTTATGTCTTGAGACTTTACATACTGGTGAGATGTCACAAGCATTAAAATAGCCCTGAGTCATTCACAGCCTGATGTCACATGAAAGTTGGGCGGTTGAGGTCACGTGAGTTGTTAAGGTGGTGTGGCCTTTATGAGTCATCACTTTAGTTATGGTGTTAACTGGTGTTTTGTCAGGATGGCATAAACTGCTGAGTTTTGATCAGAAGAGGTGGATTTGTTTGGCATTGCTCCTGCAGTTTGGAATTCTGATGTCCATAGATGACTTTCTGATCCTTTCCACCTCACAACAGGCCCCCATGATTCTGGTTATCTGATACATCACATGCCTGGGTTTTTCCATCAACTAAGAAAGTACAAAGAAAAGTGCGAATCAACAGATACAGCAACTGCTTTTTTGTCACCACAGTCACAGCTGAGGTGTTGATGCCTTGTGTCAGCTGCCCATCTGTTTCTAAAATTGGGGCCACTTATGATGCATCCAGCTGTGGTTTGAACTGCTGCGGCTGAATCCAGTAAACTACTGGTAGCTCATGGTTCATCTTTCTGCACAGACATGAGCTGGTTTGGCCCTTTGGACCTGCGACTAGGAAGCATCTCCCATCACACACAAGTATTCATAGATGCACAGTGAATATTGTGATTCACAGATCACTCACTGGGACTACTTCCTTTGACAGTGTTCAACTGGCCCTTTGTTTTCAGTTTTTTGAGTTTAAGAAGACCTGAGATGTGAGCTTGCTGTTCCTTTGTAGGGCATGCTACCATCTAATTCAGTGGAAGGAGCATCAGTTGTCTCTAGTGCTGCATACTTGTGAAGGGTTAAGTAAAAGTAAAGCCTGTTATATGACTACAGCCATACTCATAGAGCAGGGCCTAAATCCAGATAACTATTCTTTCCTCCTGGAGGACCAATGCATGCCAAACACCAGCCATGTGCAAGTACACACATACCCCAAACACGTGCATCATCTAATCAAATACAGGTCATACAACCGTAGACACAGAAGCACAAATAAAGAAATTGTTTGGTGAAAGACATGCTCGCTCTCACATTGTCAGCACGGAGGTGACTGCAAATAGACTGGCCTATCCCCATAACAGGGAATCAGTGAAAAATATAAGATGCTCTCTATTTATCTATCCTTCCCATCTATCTGTGTGGGTGTGTGTGTGTGTTTGAATTGAATTTTTGGGTGGAGAAGACGACAGATAGTTCCATATATAGGCTACTATATCCTCGATGCCAGAAATAGAATAAAGGATAAAGCTGTTATTTATGCGTCTGGTAAAAAATGACAATAAGAGAAAGTGGGATAATTCTGGGCAAAAAACTTTACTTTTATAGCTAAGGATGTTGTTTAAGCATCTACTTCAGCAACAATGCTACTTTCTGTCCCCATGTCACTGCAGGCAAGAAGAACTCAATCCTGATGCACAAAGTTCAGCATGATCTGAACTCGGGTGTTTTCAACAACCGCGAGAATGAGATGATCCAGGAGATAGTTAAATATGATCGGGAGATGGTTCAGCAAGTTGATGTACCACGACCGCGGGCCATGTCCATGACACCTCCTCTACATGGTGGGATCTTTACTCATACAGGTTCCTCCACCCAACCCCAGAATTCAGCAATTGCCACTCTGCAGCAGGCCGTAGCAATGAACTTTTGTCCCCCCATGCAAGGGAACTCAGTGGGAGCAGGAAACCTGCAGTCTCCCAGGATGGTGAGAAGATTCCAGGTAATGGAAAACGTACCCAGCCCTGTCTCAGCCTCTCCACTGCAGTCTCAGCTCCTTGCTTCTGGTGCCTTTGCTCCTACCCTGTCCAGCCCACCTGTCCAGAGCCCGCTGGCAGTTGTAGGACGGTCATTCCAGTATGGATCCAGTGGCCTAGCTGGTCCAACCTCAGGCTCCCAGCTTTCTCTAGCCCAGCAACACATAGCCAGCCCTGCACACCGGCCCAGCACACATAAGAGTACCCATTCCTTGCAAATGGGCAGTCTGAGCCAAGACGCTAGGGCGTTGTCAGCCTCTCAGCCCTCACTGCCTCATGAGGGGGTGCAACCAGGTGCCCCTAGTCCGCCCCAGTCTACACGAGTCTCCTCCACGTCCATTGGACCCCCTCAGACCCCATCAGGGCACACGGGCATCCGGAGTGCAATACCACATAGGGTGGTACTGCCCCACCAGATGTCTGTGGGCGCCTTTCCTGTAGCATCTCTGCCTGGTTCTGTGCAGGGTTTTGGGGCCGGTGCAGGTCTGGCAGTAGGGGGTGTGGGAACAGGTCTGGGGGACTCGGGACGACCCAAGAAGGACTCTATAGTGAGCCTTCCTGAGACAGACCACATCAAAGTCAGATCCAGGCTATCCTCAAACTTGTGATCTTAATGAAATCTTCTTGACAGGTGACTCAATGAGGGGCTTGACTGCAGGAACACAGGGGGGATTTCTGCTCTTTCTCCTACAGTTCCTTTTCTCTCTATCTGCTCCAGTTTGACTATCCGAATGTATGAATGTTGAGTGAGTGGCAGCAGGGAGACTGAGAGGAGACTGTTTTAACATAATAAAGTCTGTATGGTGACTTTTAAATCTGCAGCATTGAGATGTTTCTACTTACAGACATAGCAGTTGCACAGATAGTAGTAGTGGTAAAGTAGCATCTTCCCATCTCCAACTCCTTTATTTACTGTATTTCATAACATAGTCAACAACATATCTGCTTCGTTATCCTCTCATCACCTCATTTAATGCAAACTCGGGGTCGGATGGGACTAAAAGAAAATCAGGGACCTGCTTCAGATATCAGAAGTTGGCACTTTACTGGGGTTTAACTGCTGTATCTACCACATTTTGTCAGGCTGGCTGTAAAAGGGGATTCTCACAAATGTGTAAATAATTGTGGTTTCGTAAAAAAAAATTGTTAAGTATCCTTATGGACAAAATTTGTAGGAACAAAATGATAATATTCAATAATAAGAAACAAAAACACTGCGTTTATTTCAGTATTTTAAGCCATATTTTCTCCTTGACTATTGATATTAATGGGTGATTGAGTATATTTAAAATCAAACTGGCATTTTCAGAATCTAGTTGGCCTCTTTTATAAGTCTTCCTCATCTCTGATAGTCCCCACAGATAAATATGCGTGCAACTAGGATCTTCAGATTACAGACAATGAATATCCTTCATACTGACATTACAGCTGTGGGACAAAGGTCCAGCCAAGCCATCGATTTCTACAGGAAATGTCTGCATGTTTGTTTAATTTAAAGCTGCATTAATCTTTTTTTTTTGTATTAACAGTGAATCAGATGACTATGGGTAATATGAAGGGAGCTGCTTGTAGTGATAAGCCCACAGAAGAATGATCGCTTAACTCTGCATATTTATGGAGCTTTTTAGTCCTTTTTAAGCTTATTGTTTTGGCTTTAAAGCCCACAGACCCCACTATGTGTGGCCTGCACATTGTGGCCTGTAAGCTAAAGAGACAGATATTTTTTTCAGGAGTTGGTGTAGAATAAACCAGATATGAAGGGGTCAAAACTCCTCTTGTAAAGTTAAATAAAGTTGTTATACTACAAGTGTTGGTGGAGTTTTGACCTGTTTAGAATTTTCTTTTCTCCATGCACCTTGTAAGTAGGTGCAGTCATGCCAGAAATTCCTACTCTGCTTCTACAGGACTACACCATAATAAGGCGAGTAAATATCATATATATCTGTCAGTTAGCCAGAAAGTAGGATTATAATGATACTGCTAGATGTGTAAGTAGCCAATTGTTTGTGCCCCCAAGTGTCCAAAAATTAATTAATGCAGCTTTAAGACTAATGAGTTAAAATCTTATAAAAATATACCTGACTAAAAGACAATTCCTCTTAATAGCAGATTTGGTTTATAAAGTAAGGGGTTATGGACTATAATCATGTGAGTAGTACTACCCCACACTTTGTGAAAGTATTTATTGTATCTTATAATTCACTGCCAGTTAATGACAAAGAATTTTTTCTTTTGTCAAAATATAAATCCATTATTTTCTAACCATGAATCACACATGTCTCGCAGCAGCAGTCAGGCAATGTGTCACTATGCCAAAGTCAATTCATACTGATAATGAAACTCCTGCAGAGCTCAACCCTACTGTAAACGCTACTGTTTTGATCATCAGCCAAGGACAGTGCAGGTACTTTGCAGGATCTATATTGCAGTGTGCCTCTGTCATTAATGCCTCAATAAGAGTTCATCGGATGCCGCTGATTTGTGTCCAAAAGCATTAGGAAGGGAACCTTTTCCTCCCAGACCTGACATTCTCTTCACCTCATTTCACTAATGTCTGAACCATTACTGAGTAATGAGAGTGGAAATTGGAATCCCTCAGGTCTGTTTGGGACTGTTATTATTCTCCTTCGATTGGATTTCATTATACAGTGCCAATGATGAGTTCCTCTTCTATGATCTTTTTTGCATTTTCATTATATTTAGTTTCAGTTCCTGCATTGTTATCCGCCTTGAGAGTTCCAAATGGGATAAAGTTGAAGGTTTCTTAAGTATTTTTATACAGCGTTTTTGAAGTCTGTTGTGTTTATGTTTTATGCCCAAATTATTCCCTGTGGAACCTATTTGGATGCTCAAAAATATTTAATATAAAGGGTTGTTATGAGACTAGTGTTTCACTCAACTTCACATTGTGTCCTGGAGGCAGTATCTTAGGACAGGAAATACATACAGTGACAGTAAGTTTATAGACATGTTTTACTTTATTGGAAAACACACAATAGAGGAAGACAGACAAAGGGAGAAAGAAAGGAGGTAGAAACGGGATGGATTGCAAAAAAACAGTCAATAGTTAAACTCAAATCACTAGCATATATTAGTAACTGAAGCGCACTGATCCTAAACAACTCCACAATTTAAATAAACGATGAAGAATGAACAGAGTGAAACCAAAGTTTCAAGGCCTGTAATTTTTTGTATGCAAATGTTTCAAAATGTTAAGATATGACTGACATGTCACAGACTGAATTATTCACGCTGACTAAACTTACAAATCAGAGAATATACCACTAAACCCATTCAGTCATGTTGTCTGAAAGTGATGTTTATTTTCACACAAAGCAATAACTGTTTGAAGAAGTGTGAGTTTATGCAGACGATGTTCTGTTGTATCCTTCAGGCGTTAATGAAGATGCAATATTTCACATTTTGGATGGATTTACCAAACTTCACTTAGAATTTGTTTAAAGTCTGTTTTTGGAGGAACTTGATAAGCGATATTCTGATTTAAAACACACTCTTTAATGACAATAACTTTATTGACATGGTTGTTATTTCGTAGTGCTCATCATGTAAACCTATTTATTAATTTAGGTTAGTTAACTGTAACTGTAGACATTATGAAAAAGAAAATGTCTGAATATCTTTTTAACCTTTGACAAAATGCATATTATCAGCTGGTATGAACTGATATTACTTGAGCATATAATTAAAGCAGAACAAAACCGTTTGCATTACAAAAGATGTATCACTTCTGTTTCTACAGTCGCTCACAGTACCACCCACAGTTTGTATATAATCCTGTGCCAGTTGCTGTGAGGTCTGCATGGTTTCTATTGTGTTTGTTTTATTTGTTTATTTATTTTTCTAATCTCACACCCCAGTCCATTTGCAAAGCCTGGTCCGTTAGATTTTTCCCCCTTCTATGCTGTTACCTCGACCATCTGATTAGCATGTTGCCCAGAACTCTGTAAATGCCCTTTTCCCTCTTTTTGCAACTTTACAAACATACTTGTGTTATGTAAATGCTACAACAACTCTGCTTTTTCAGTACACCCTCCAGGCTTTGGGAAGGATGGTGTCTTTGCCCCACACACACAGCAGCAGCAACATCGACGGATCTGTATTTACCAGGTTGTTGTGTTTTCAACAGTTTTTTTTTAATTTTTTTTAATGACTTTCTTTGTAAATCCCCTTTTTTGTGTCTTCAATGCTACACCTTTTCAAAGTATTTTCCATTACAATTTTTATTCAGTTGTGTGTTTGGGTTCATCAATGACAGTAAAGCTTGGGGATTCAGAGTGTTTCAAATGTTTACCTACAAGGGCTGTTCTTATGGATTGAGCAATGGTGTGATTTCTGTGTTGCTAACTTTTGTCACACAAGTACATTCATGCTAATGAGTTCAGATTATTTTTCTCTTATTGGCCAATACGATAACACCAACACTAAAAAATATATAATGCACTTTTTTATACTAATTGTTTCTGTATTTTACAGGGTACAATACAACATGATTCAATATCAAACCACAGTCATTCAGCATATATTTGTTGTTTACTTTACATCCCTTCTTCTTTCGCTTTTGTTCTCAGATCTCAGACCTGTTAGTGTGTGTAATGGCATTCAATAATACAGAGTACAAATCCAACAGCAATACCAAAACCAATCCTATAGACACTACAGACACATGTAGGTCAAATAATGTACGCTGAGATCTTCACCAGTAACCATAAATTCCCTTGAAGCAAACAGGTGATCTCAGGCAGCCACTGTCTGTGAAAGCAGACACAGTGCAGTACAAGCGTTTCTGTGTCAGGGACCTGATTTTCTTTTATTGAGCCACTCTACAACTGTCACATCCCATAACATGTACTGTGCATACCTAGTGCCTAGCATATATTGTAGTCTCCACATACATGTATTATATTCTTTGTGTGTGTGGCTGTAAAAAAAAATGCAAGCTCCTCACAATGCAAACATCATTGTCAGTTATATCCCACTGCAATATATGTAAAAAGGAAATCAAATAAATTGTATTTGAATACAGTATGATTCCACTGCTTTATGTTTAGGTAAATAATTTGGTTTAGCATATTGGAAAAGCACAAACAGGTTACTAGTAAATAATTTTGCATATTCTTAATAGAAACAGAACTTCTTAATGCAATAAAGGCATGTGATGGTGAATGCCTCTGCTTTCTGTTAGTCGTGATTTTATTGCTAATGTGTCAGAGTTACAATGGCCTCTGAATCTTTGTTATTGATTGTTTACTTCTTACTGATTTAATAACATCTGGTTATCTGCCTGGTTATGAAGAGATAAAAAAAACCCCTACAAACTCAGTAAAAGATTGCAATATTTCTTGTGTGAAATAGTGAATAAATATGTTAAGTATTTGATTGCTTTCATTATAAAATGTGATATTTTAAAAAAAAAAAACTATTTATGTGCAGTTGTCAGTATTTTAGTATGCAGCTTGTTCTCTCTTATATACGGTAATTTGATGTCTATTCATCGAGAACTATAAAGAATTTACAAGAACCACTTGGATTCTTGAAGAAATGTGCTTCCCGATCCCACTGATTGCTGAAAGATAAGTTTAGATCGACTTCACTTCCCTCCACCGCCACTGGTTTCTATGTGAACATTTTTTTTTTTTAGTTAGCACTAGATAACTATCTAAAATTGAGTTGATCTTAAAACGACGGAAAGGCACGAATTGTCACTTACTTTGGTGACAACACTAGAAGAATGCATTTGAAAACCCTTGTATTGCTTTGTAGTATGAACAAGGAACAACTTTTAGTACAATTAGGACAGATGGTTTCTAAACACTTAGTGTGTGACTTTTCTTTTTAAAGGCGGATTATTAAAGAAGCCTCTGTAGATTTATTACTTTCTGCTCATAATTTACTAGCTATTTTGCCACAGTAGAAGCCCCTACATCCACAAAGTTATAAATCTCACATTTATATCAAGATAAAAAGACAACTTAGGTTTAAATTAGATCTAAACATCTATAGAGAAGAAAGACCCCCTTCTTTTGGAAGCGCATGTTCACTGAAGCATCACAGCATCAGGCACCAGATGTGTGTGTACTGTATATGTTTGATGGTTGTTAATCAACTCATCACAGCCTGTCAGTCAGAAGAAAGGTCAGACAAAGGCATCTCACACTGACATACCTGACACACACACACACACACACCTGCCAACACTGTACCACCTGCCTCCCTCTCCACTGTGCTGCCTCCTGCTGTCAGACAGCTCTGGCCCCACTTGCTCCCTCCAGGACTGTGCACACTCTTCTCCCCTGCTAGTGCCGCTGAGTGCTGGCCGCTCATGACGCCATGGGGCGGGAGATAGGCCGGGAGAGCCCAGGAGCCTGGCAAGGAAATCATGGTGCTCTCAATTAGAGTGAGTGGTCCGGCTATCAGAGAGTGGCTTCCAGTTCTGGTATACCTGGCACATAGCGCCCAACACTTCCATAGTGTCCACTTCCCGATGATCCTGTGGCTGGAATAAAGAACTTGCTAAAAGCCCCACCCTACTGTCTGTGCTAGATATGATAAACTTCCTTCTCAATTCAATGGTACAGTCACATATTATCATATCAGCAAACATTAAATTCAAATGTTAAACAACACAGGTGTTCCATACTAATATGTCTGTCATGACAAATATTCATCACTTTTTAGATTTTTAAAGGAACCCCTTTCTATCAACTAATGCAATCATGGCTGTCTATTGTTTCAACAGCTTATGTCTATTTCTGGCCGTGACAGGCTGAAGCCTATCCCAGCATGCTGTGGGTGTGAGACAGGGAAGCACCCCCAACAGGTCCCTGCTTCATCACAAGGCTAACAGATAGAGGGACAGTCGGATTCACACTTATGAGCAATTTCAAACCTCCCTGGTGTAGCTGGACTGTGGGCAGAAAGCAGCCCAGCTGGATTAACACAATGAAATAGTAGCTTGATGATCTTAACTCTTTTTTCAGTTTTTTTTTCAGAGCATTCATCTGCATCTCGGTCTTTTTCACTTGGTGCACAGGAGTAGATGCTCCACAACTACCAGCTTTATGGAGAGCTTTCAGCTACTGAGTATTCATCAGCAGATGAAAACTGAGCAAACTCCATCCTATAAAGCTCCAAAAAGAAAAAAAGCTAGTAAGTGTTCAAGACAGCTTGTTTATAACCTATTAAAAATATACCACATTCTAGCAATTAACTTATTATTACATTAACTTTTAAACGCCTCTTAGAATCTAATATTATAGTATGATATTGTAGTGTTACTACATGTTAACACGTAAACATCCCATCTAAGTCTGGCTGCCTTAAACATTCTGAGTGAGCTTCATGTTTAACTGCACTGCCCGGGATTGAAGGCCTCAATCAATCAATAAGCACATTCATGGTTGCAGGCAAAATGCTGTAAAACAAGGATACTTGAAAATCTTGTGTTTTAGAGATATCAGCATAAACAAAGGCTAAGGCAGGCATAAAAACTGAACATGTGGACTGAAAAGGAAACATTTTTTTAAAAGGTAGTGAATAATTGCATTTTCCTCTCTCAAGAGATGTCAAACTCAACAACCTCTGTACTATATATTTCCCTAATACAAAATCATCATCAACAAGATGTGTGAATCTCTGGAGAGGACCCGTAATGGAAGCTATCTGACTATATCCTGCTACAAGCTTTGCTCCATTACTGCAGGCTGGACCGTTGCAGCTCTCAGATCTAACAGCAGACATCCTTGGAATCACCCCAGAGAAACTGAGACAGGCCCATCAAGCTACACGGCAACTGCAATTTGCAGTAAGGACATCTTCAATATCCTGTTTACTCTACTCAGCGAAAGTCAACAGTAGTTTACGCCGAAAACACAAACGCCATCTCAACAAAAACAGACATTAAATGTGTATGTTCCCTGACCTGCCCCCCTCCGCAGTGACCCAGCTACATGTTCTGACACTTTAAGTGCTGCACTGGCAGTATTTTAAAGCTAATTTGTAGCACAGTCGTCCCACTGTCCCTCTGGCATGAGTCACAGCTATTGATTGAGGCGCTTATACCCTCAGCATCCATCCATCCATCCACTCATGGACTGTGTGTCAGAAGCTAAGCTGTGAAATGTAATATGTGATAAGTATGTGAGATCTTAATAGCACTTTACAGGAGAGGGCTCTGTCCTTGACAACTAGTCTCAAAGAGACAAAAGGAGAGGAGAGACTTGCTGGGCTGACGCCTGCTGGAAGGAGACCAAGTTGGCTCAGAGTTCAGATGATATGTGCCAAATTTGAGGTGATATGTTAACCACTCAGGGCCCCAAACTGTACAGGTGTGGAGACTTTCATGCTTTTATGAAAAAGTGAACTTTATTTTCACATATAACCTGATCCTTGAGAAAATGAAGGTTAAATAAGAATGTAAATCTCCTGTTTATAAGTGTGGTGTGAACATCTTGTGCACATAAATGCAAACAAAATCCACCACAAAATCCACAGAGGATGAAGGCAACCTCAACTTAAAGGAATTCAATATTATTTGCTTTGGGTCACATGAGAAGATTGATATCATTCTCATGTCTACAGTTAATATGAAGCTATCGCCAGCCATCAGTTAGCTTAGCATTAAAGGCCTGCTCACATCAGAATTTCAAATGGCTAAATTTCATGGCAAAATCAAATTCGCTGACCAAGTAAACAGTTCTATAAAATAACAATGGTTCGCAGTTATGAGAGAAATATAATATAAATGGAGTTGATGTTACGAATGGAGATCTTTTGAAAATGTGTGCAAACTTAAGCGATTGGGCGAAAGCTAACTGATGGTTAGCGAGCTGGTTAGCTCTGACAGCTTTATTTTCCCTCCTCCGTAACGTTTTATTGTAACAAAATACCGGGGGGAGGTAGAAAGAAAGAATACACAGAAGCTCCATAGCTACCGACACAATAATCTGTGGTCATTGTAAAGTTGCCAGGCAACCAGCATACATTTCAGGAAGTTCCTGACCCAAAAATAGTTCTGCACGTATTCCCCCGTACAACCAGACCATTTGTTGTTTTGTACAGATTATACAAACAAATTAGAACATGTTTATAGGTAGATGTTGTTACCTTTGGACAAAGCCAAGTTAGCCTTTTCCCTCTGCTTCCAGTGCTTATGCTAAGCTAAGCAGCTACTAGCTCTAGTTTCTTATTTAGTGTACAGATATAACAATGGTAACTTCTCAACTAACTCTCAGCAAGAAAGTGAAAAATAGTTTCCATTTTCAAATTATTTCTTTAATAGACAAAAGTTCAACATCCAAGTTATTGTTTCCTGGTGTCATTAAAGTCTACTTTCATTTAAAGTGTCTGTAAACACGAGAGAGAAATCTGATTATATTATCAATTCTAAACAGTTATAACCCATTTGTGTGTGTGTGTGTATGTGTGAGAATTTGCCTTTGGAAATATTAATGGCTGATCCTCACAGACAGCACAGTTCAAAGAAGATTTCACTTCAAAATCAAGTCATTAGGTTCTATATCATTTTTACCAAATCAATAAAATAATCAATAAAAAGCCACAGGCTACATCTCATTCACATCAGAACATATCTTCATGTGCATGTTGCTGTGCAAATCATCTCAAATTCTACAGTCTAATCAGCACACTATTTATGCCCCCTCGGAGATTATTTCCATTTCATTACATTGTCACTCAGCCAGCTTTGTTTGTCTGAGCCTACATTTGCCTTTGAACATCCACAGCACCTTTTGTCTGAAACTGCTGTAACGTTTCCAGCAATGATCAGATAGCACTTCTTCTATTTTTACTTCTAGATGTGGCACTGGCCCAGAAAAAATAAGATCTGAGTTGATTAGCAAAGCCTGAAAACCCTTTGTGGTGCATCTAAAAGGAGGCCTTCATCTCATGATACACAATAGAATTGAAATATGCAGATACATATAACAAAATAACAGACCGTCATTCATCCTATTTAGGCACACTAAGAATACCAGCGATTTCTTTGAACCACTGAATGAATAACGAGACATTTTAAGAAACACATTTATTTTAAAGGCAATTGTCAAGTGTTTAGTCCAAGAAGTTAAGAGTCAAGAGTACCCTGGCACACAATGCTGCCTAAGAGCCCCTTTGCTCATCCCTCCACATTCATCTTTCTCTGAGAGCCCCGTATCCTGTACATCTTTGTTTCCACCTCAAACGTCTTTCTTCAAACTTCTTCAGAAAACCTTTAAATGTTTGAACGTTGTGTCAGAGAGCGTCCTGCCAGCCAGTAATGATGGGATCGACGATTAGGTGGGAGAGTCGCAGAGGCAGGTCAGCGCTCTGTGGAGGTCTTCACAGCATGACAAATGCTCACACACCACCAGTCACTAGCAATTACAGTTTGTAGGTGAAAAGCTTTGGCTCAGTCTTATCGAGTAGCAGAAGTGTTGCTGAGTGATGAAGAAATAGACAGTTCACATGTGATTCAGTCAGTAGGGGGTCATGTACGCGCACACACACACACACACGACACACACACACACCACACACAGCACACAAGCAGCACACACACACAAGTATACACACACACACACACTTATATACACCTGAATATATCCATTATAAGAGGTACTTTTCACTGATTGAAGTCTTTCAGAGACATTTCCATCCGGTGCTGATTCCCTCATCTGTCGCTTGGATGAGTATTCCCCCCCCACCAATTCCATCAGCCCACTAGTCAGTTAATCAGGCAGGGCTCAGTGTTTGCGAATGCCTCCAGTAGCTCCAGCAGTTTCCAGCCTGTGGACCAGGAGGCGGGCAGGGTGCGGCTGGATCAATGTCCGGATGTCTGAGGGAGACAAAGCTAGTCGAGCCCCCGGGGCCTGCAGCCTCCCTGCTGCACTGTCAATTCCACTCATCTGCCTCTGCTTGCTCGCCCTCACAAGCCTCTCAGCTGAAGAAATAAGTTGAATCTTTGACCTGCTGGAGATCAAAATCACCTGGAGAGGTAAGAGGCAAAGTGTCAGAGCAGGTTAAAGTCAGTGGATGGTAGTTAGAGAAAGTAAATTACATGTACTGCAGCTTTAATTATAAAAAGAAAACTTAAAATCACCACATACGATCGTGTTAAAATTTGGTCAATAAAGAAATAAATTACGCAAGCAACGCACTTAGGAACAGGGGTGCTTTAAGTGTCGGGGGGGGATGCACATGGGGAAGCGAGCACTGTGATTAAAATGAAATGAAAATTCTACAGCAAGCCATCCAATATTTGTCAAAACATTTCAGTAAAAGCCATAAAATGTCAACCTCAAGGTGGCACTACATGAAAAGTCAGGGGATCGTCAAAGTCAGCAGGACTTATCCTGTGGACACCATGAAATCATGTACAGACGTACACAATTTCATGGCAATCCATCCAATAGTTGAGATATTTCAGTTTGGACGAAAGTGGTGGACTGACCAGCTGACAGACTGGCACTGCCGCTGGAAAACAAATACTGATTATAATGACCAAAAAACATCACTGATGGAATATGCACTTTGTATTTTGTAAGCTTTTAATATATTGTACTGCTTAAAAATAAGATTTCAAGGAGTTTTTTATGCTGATAAATAATCCATTTAAACAATTTGCACTGTGGTCAATTTTTCATCTATCATCTATGCTGTCGTTGATCAATTAAGGAAACGGTTAAGAACATTAGGATGTAGGTAGGATGTAGTTTGTCCTGAGTCTACTGAAAGGCAAGGGTTACAATCTTCATGAGTGGGAGAAGAGAAGTTATTTTTTAACTGGGTCAAACTCAGGAGCTTTAATTTTTAAATCAGATACAACTTTTTAGTTTTACTGGGCACCAGTACATTTTCTATGAACTTTAATACACACACTACTAATTTTATCTCTGGATGATGCCCTGTCCTGCACTCTGTACTTTGCCTTGTGTACTCTTTGCCTCTCTGACAGCAGCATACGCCAGCAGGAGCTACGGCGTGAATTATTGAGGAAAGGCCATAAAAAGCTTAAGAATGCACACACTTCAATCTTATATTTCTGTAATAATGATAACAGATAGACAGACTGTTACCACGATCACATAATGTGCAACGCTGTGTACCAAAGTGAAGGCACATAAAGCTGAAAAGACATGCTTCTTCACAACTACTCAACTTGGGTCTTACAAACTTACAGCCTTAATGGGGTTAAATGACACCAACGTAAAAAATGGCAGTGTTTAAAAGAGTCAAGACATGAACACACTGAATAACTTAAAGCATTTACTATCCTAAAAGTCAGCAACTGTAGCATCAAAGTCAGACTCTAGCTGCGTTAGTGTCTTTGCACGTTAATGGCTCTAAGTTATTCAGTGTGCTCTGCAGTCTCTGTGGTCATAGATCCACCTGATTCGTCTGACCTCCTGCTGGATTACACACGGTGAAACCAGACTCACCTTAATAATAAGTTCAGGATCCTTCATAGTGAAGCTTATAATGGATTTGAGTCCAGATCCATTGAGTCTCATATTTAACATTAAACACAGTGGACATTCAGGGACACACACACACACACACAAGCACACACCCCTCCCTCAGGAGCACACCTGACTGGTCTCAGCCACATAAGCTGATTATGCAGAGGAGGGACACAATTAACAGAAATCAATTTATACAACCCAGCTGTCGGTGCCAAGCAGACACTAAGGGTACAGATGGAAATGGAGCGAGGGGTTACATAACAGCAAAGCCCCCATTCACCTGACTGACAGAGAGGCGCTGCTACTGTACCTCCACACTGGACAATAATAGACGGACGCTTGCAGTGGCGTCAAAGGAAAACTGGGGAATCTGGACCTGCTAGGCATGAATACACCACTCATGACATAACCTGAAAATTTAATTTCAGCCAAACTCAATGGCTTTTCCTGTTTGAATCAACAGGCAGAATACCATGTCTGGGCAACACAGACAGCTGGACATCCGACTACAGACAATGGGATGACTATACAAGCAATAGGCAATAACAAGTAGCAATTCATTTTGTTCAGGATAGAAAATACAGGATTGTTCAAGAACCCAATTTAATAACATTCCTATCATTCTTGCTAACCTCAAACTGAACTTCAGGACATACAAGTCCTCTTCAATCCAATAAAAAAAACAAAAAAACAGCACAGAGTAATTTGGCTCCTTCAAACAATACTCGAGCTTTGGTGCAACCAAGTGTTTAGGAGCCAGACAGCTGCATACAAACTGACCTGTCTGGGGCACTCGGGCCAGCAGCTGCTTCAACTTCTGATATTCCGCTTCCATCTTTTTCATGCCCTTAATCCTGCCACAAAAGAGGAGAACAAAAAAAGTTAAGACTTCAGAAACTCTGAGAAGAACACGTTTGAGTGTCTATAGAAGTACTAATTGGCCTTTCTGAGTCGTCTCATTCAAGTGTCTTCACCGGTTCTGCTGACTGATGGTCCCACGTATTTGAACCACTATGACACCTGGATGTCACATTATCATTTTTGAGGTTGTTGTGAGTTGTTTTTCAGACCAAACAGCCAGTCCCATGACTCACTGCCTTGGAATTAGCACATAATTAGTACTTCTCATGTGATGTGCAAGAGGTGGCAGAACACATGCTAATGTGAGATGTGACTGGTACGCCCAAAAAAGGCCATTTTAATGTTTTACCACACACTGTTCTTTCTGTAGGGTGATAACACTTTGTAGAACTTTGAAAGAACTTCTAGGATAGTAGAAAGTTGAAAAGCAAGAACATGTAGACTAATCCATTTGTTTTAATTTAGGCAGGGGGTTAAACTATGATTATATTTAATCAGTTCCTGCCTAAACTGTAAGGATGGTTAAAAGAAAAATATTTTACACATTGGAGCCAGTGAAGGAATCCAAAAAGTCTTCCTATTCCCACAAGTCTTTCTCTCTGGTACCTACAAGAATGAATAATGTGTTTGCAAGGATTAGGGAACAGTGATGTGTGTCTGTGTGAGAGGGAGGGAGAAAGACAAAGAGGACGAGGGCTGCTGTGGAGTAAAGGCTGTAGAGAAGGTGTCCAATTATCCCAAAGAGAGAAAAACAGTCAGATGGTGAGCATAACCCAGCCTGAGGCCACTAAGAGAGACACAGAGACAGAGAGAGAGACAGAGAGAGAGGAAGAGAGAGAGACAGAGACAGAGATAGCAGAGAGAGAGAGAGAGGGAGAGCGGGTGGGGGCTGGGGTAAAAATGATTTTGTATTTAACGTCACAGACAAGTGGAGGAGAAACTCTGGCATGCTAATTTAACTTTTATAGTCTTATAACCTTTTAGTGTGTGTACCTTCTGCTTCTGTGTGTACCTTCTGCTTGGACTGTTTTATATTTTATGTACATTTGGAAGTTGCATGTTCAGCGTGTAGATACTGTATGACAATAATTATTTGTACCTGAAAAGGAGATGTGTGGGGAAAAAAAGATAGCTAGACCTATTTTTATCATCATAAACCTGATAGATAACTGACCACAGTGTTGCTCTTGAGACTTAACGTATGTATGTATGAGTGTGAACAGTCGAATGTGTTCCAGCATGCAGGTGTGTGAACTCACGGGGGGCTGCTGCAGTATTGGTTTAGCAGGAAGTCGGACAGCTCTTGAAGGATTGGCTGGCTATGCAGGGCGACAAACTGTTCCCGACAGATCTGACAGGAGGAGGAAGAGGCAGAAAGAAGTGTACTTTGAATTAATCTTGCCAACACACTTGACCTACAAGCAAATCAGGAAAATGGACCATCTCCCAGAGTATAAACAATTTTCTGTACGTCTTCTCGATTCCTGCTTGAATTATTAAATTTTTTGGGTCAAATGCGAATTTGACCAAAAAAGAAAAAAGAAAGTGTAGATTTGATTTATATTGCTGTTGACACACCACAGCATCACCTGGGGAAAAGAAGTGCTATTCATTTCTGTGCTGGTTGCAGATTATTAGAATCCTCCCCATGTGTTTCCCAGGATGCATTTTAGTATGTAGAACACACTGCAAAATCTCAAATGTTTTCATTAAAATCTAGTGCGAATTTTAACCAAATTTCAAAAAAACAAAATTGACAAAAGAAAACGCAAATTAATGTCTGTTTCCATCCACAACGATTAATATTATGAGATAAACAGCTGCCGGTGCTAATTCTCTAGTCTGGTGCCATTAAACCATTGCACTGCAGAAGGGGTGCAGAATAATGAAAAGAGACTCAGCAAACCTGACTATTCCCTGAAATATTAGAAGACAGACACATGACACATTTCATCCAAAGCCACCAGTCTGCCAACAAATCCCACACTGATACTCTAAACACAAACTGATCAGCAAATAATTGATTATAGAGCTTGATTAACTTGTGCACTATTCATCAAAAAATCCTAAACATGCAGTAATAGTGGGAGCTGTCATGCCTTGAACCACTTTATTAAAACTTGAATTGAGGAAGGATCATTTGCACTTATAAAAAGGACCTTCTTCATGTGCTTAGGTGTTGACTAAGATATTTAATACCCCTCCTCTGTCGCTGTGTTCAATTACCTGTGTAATGACGGAGGCGTACACTCACATATCAAGAGAATGAATGTACTGAAAGGGAACTGCTTTATTGGTTGCAACTCCTCTGAGATGGGCTGAAGACATAAAACTGACATCTACAGAAAATTGGGACTTTACGGTAATTTGATCCATTTTATTCTATGCTGTGTCTCAATCTGGGTCTGTTGATAAGCTAGTTTCAGCAAGCAGAGGCAGACAGTCATTTATTCAGCACAACAGGCTCTGTCTAATGGTGCTACCTGCAGCCAGCAGCCAGTAAATGTATGAAACAGTGAAAATATGTCATTTGTTTTAGTGGCTTCACAAAACCTGGCTTCTACCTAGCACTAATAATGCTACATGTAAAATGTATTTTTATCACCAGCATCCACTGTAAAAGTACTCTCACAGCTTTTAAGAACACACAATCCTTCTTCTGTTCAATTCAGCAAAAATATATATTTAAAAAAACCAACCTGGATGTAAAGGCAAGATAGAGCCAGAAGAATTGAATCACATGTGTCACCTTAAGCTTGAATTAATCAGTAAAAACAGGAGAATTCTAAACCCTGATGATACACGATCAGACGGGTTGAAAACAGCTCTGACAGAATGATACGGACAAGAAATGGTGAAAGAGTCTGAACCGGTGGGAGTAAAAAATGATTGGACTGTAATTTGATACCTTGTTCATGGTGTCCACAGTGAGGGCGTGGGTCCAGAAACAGTCGTGAACCGAGACGAATGTCAGGTCAGCACTGAGAGGAAAGGAGAGGGAACAAAGGGTTGAAGAAAAGCCATGTGCAGGGATTGAAATCAGATGAAGAAAAATACATGAAAGAGAAGACAAGGTCATTAAAAACTGGTAGACTTTGGCAAAAGGTGTATTACAGTGACAATAATAGCTAAAATCATAGCGGACCTTCATGCAAAGCCTGCGTGAGTTCCATCATGAATTATCACACCTGTCAAGAGGCCAATTCTGTGAGCTTATACTGCACGGATATCATACAATGCTCATCTGAAGTGATAATTGCTTTCAAAATGAGAGGGTACATTCTCAAAGCTATTTGAGGTCATGCATACATGGAGAGTCAATGTCAGGAGCATATTTCAGACTGCCTTTAGAAACATGATTGCATGGGTTTTATGGGTTAAGTACGATATGTTAAATGATACCTATAGCAGTGGAGAGAAGTCAGCATCATGTGTGTGGAGTCCAGAGAGTGGATGAAGTTTGGTGGGAAGGCATTCTTCTGTTTAACTGTGTCTGGCATCCTGAGAAAGGATAGAAAGCCAAGCAGACATTGTATTGACAGTATAAAAAACACTTTACTTTCTGCAATGATACCTGTACCTTTGATGCTTTCTAATATAAAAAGGGATGTTTCAGCCAAGTTGTCTCACAAGTCTGAAGTGGCCTCATTATGAACTGTGCTGATAACTCCCGAGCAGACAGTTTGCAAAGCTATATTTTTATTCCCTTTTTAAGTTGTGCACTGCTTGGAAGACAGCAGGTTTTATTAACCATTACATAAAACGCACTGTACCCTTGAGGAGTTTCATAATAGTACAGTAAATGTGTAGATAGTAGAAGTAAAAGCCAGGAGCAATGTTTGGACATACTGAATCTAGGAACTGTTTTGCTTAGAATGAGCAGTTTTTATCTACAGACATCGCGGGTCACCTTCCATGGAGTCCGCCATGTAGAACTGCCATGTTTCTACAGTAGCCCAGAAGGGACTAGGAGCAAATCAAATACAGGCTGTAGATAGACAGGGCATTTCGCGGTCACTAAATTACAATTTTTAAAGAAGTGTTTACTGTCTTATATCAAAATGCACACCTTTGACCTGTGATATCACTCTGCTACATAGCTAATGGTTGACTGTGATTTGAAATGATGGGCCTTATTAGCTAGTTGCCTCAAACAACCTCTGATCAGATACAGTTTTGTACAATCCTCCATCTTTAGGACAAGTCAATAAAATATTACATTTTTCAGAAAGACAAAAATGTTTTTTTTAAATGATATATTGTCATTGTTACGCTTCAGTTTTGTACACATTAAAAAAAAATTATTGTTCATTAGAGAGCTTTAGAGGTACTGGTACGGGGACTTGTGTTACACTGGAGTGAGCCAGGGCAGCCGTTACCGCCGTTTACAGTCTTTGTGCGAAGCTAAGCTAACTGTAGCCTTAGATTTACTGTACGCCTGAAAGGGAATTAGCATACAAGTAAATGTTACTTAAGTAAGTAAATTAACTATTCCTTTAACACAGGGGCATTGCTGTGCTGTAGACTCACAAGGCACAGGTGTAATTAACATTATTATTGACTGCATCATTAATATTATTAGTCACACCTGCGCTTTCTCTGCTTGGACAAGGCAAAAATGTCTGCTGTAAAAACATCTATTTATACGCATGGATTTCAACATCTGTATCTATTTTCTACTATGTGACCCCCAGGGGACTCTGTGGCTCTGTGCCTTCTAAACAATAGTCAATATGAGAGCATACAAATATAGAAGTGGTATAAAAGAAATAGTACAAGGTAATATGAATGCAGTGCTGCTGCTACTGATGATGGAACTGGCGGTAGAAAAAGCATCCTGCCAATCTGTATCCCCATGTTCCCATTACCCTGAGCCTGTGCCATTCAAATCCTCTGGGCTGCCACAGACCAGAACGCTCTTCTAATGGGAATGAAGACAGTGCGGAGAGAGCTTGGGCCAAACCCAAAGATACACACAGGCGCACACGATGCCTGTCTGTCAGTCTTGTTTTCCTTCCGCCTGTTTTATTTTTGGCCTGGAAATGTTATACTTTTATCTTTGTGCCTTAAGTTCTGCTGTTGTGGGCTTGAGCTAAGCAAAAACAAGATTCCTGGAAATTTATTTGCAAGCACACTCGGCTAGCTACACTTAGAACAAGACTGTCTGTTTTTCTCGTTTCCCTTTCTATTTCCCCTTCCCTCACGCACAAAACAAACATGTCACCTTTAAATCCCAGAGGACTGACATACTGGAAAGGTGCACAGTCAGTACTCTTAGAGTTAGCAACCGCAGCTCTCTAAAGTGCAACTGTTCTCCCTATAGATAACAGTTCATATCACAAGAGATACTGAAAGTTGGCGTAGAGCTTAGTATTTGATGTTTTTTTTCCACTGCAGTTTAGAAGTCTGGATAATCAGCACTCCTCTAAAGATGAGAGGGACGGAGGAAATGGCAAGCAAGACGAGGGCTGCTTGAAGGCTGTCACTACTCCGTCTGTCACGCCGTTTACATATTTAGACGCTGGACGAGCTTTTATAGGATCTTTAATCACAGCAAGTGCAATTATGTGTGTGTGTGTGTGTGTGTATTGAAGGAGAAGCTGAGGAAAATCAGCCATAGCGTCAAGTTTAGCTCCAAATGTCAGCCTGTAAAACACTAATGCTTTCTCTGACAGCAAATTTCGAGTTTCAGGCGAGACGACCTTTCAAAATAGGCATCTCTTCCTCTCAACTCGAACTCCCCTGCATCTCCCCCTCTGCTCTGGCTGTTTTTTCAGTATTCACACTGCTGGATGTGTAGTATACTTTAGATGTCAGATTGAGGAGGACGACTGTCAGTCTTTGTCATCTCTGTCTCCAGTGCTCTCACTCCTGTCTTCCCACAACTCTCTGCTGCTGTCTCTCATTCTGTCTCTTTTTGTCCTCTACTCACCTCTATCACCCTTCCTCTGTCGTCTTAAAACTCTATCTACACATTCTTCTTTCGCCTCCCCGTCATAGCAGTCATTCACACATCCCAAACTAGCACTTATCCAGAGAAGAGCAAAAACCAGTCGGCCTTCTTTATCCAAAAAGGTCAAATACCATCTATTGAAGTGGACTGCCACTAAGTAAATGACAGGTGCAAAAGGAGGCATAATAATTTATTGTGA